TATTAATGAAGTAACTAGAGTGATAAATGACGAACTGATAAATGTTATCAACCGGTTTGACATAAACAGACTTTCACAGAATCTTAATAAAACTAATTTTATGTTGTTTAATGACAGAGACAACAAAGATGTAACAATAAAAATAAATGGAATAGACATCTAAAGGGTGAAAGAAACTGAATTTTTAGGAGTCAGTTTGATGAAGCTATCACCTGGAAGTCACACATAGGTTATATCAGAGGTAAAATTGCCAAAGCCATTGCAGTACTACATAAAGTTAGGTTTTTACTGAATAGTTCTGGATTGCTGACATTGTATAACTCACTAATTGTTCTATACTTGACTTACTGTGCAGAAATGTGGGGATCCACATGTAAAACTCATACACAACCACTGTTTATTCTACAGAAAAGAGCATTGAGAATCATTAATAACAATCACTAGAGATCCATCCAATCCGTTATTCATCAAATATAAACTACTGAAATTTTATGATCTAGTGAATATGAAAATATTGGAAACAATGTATAAAGCTGTTGTGATTACTAGTCAATGAATAATTTGTAAGCTTTTATTTACTTTTGGATTCTTCAATAAAATTCGTAAATATGGAAATATTTACCGATTTTATTACACAATTAGGATATCCGGAGATATGCCTCGGGGCACCACCCTTTTTAACAAGGGAAAATAAATCCAAAACCTCTTATCAGTCTGTCTTAAAGTTAGTAAAATTTGTTTACGAGCAGCAGTCATAAATTCATATCACACATACAAATTCACTTGAGAAAAAACTGAGTTGGCAATACATTTATTAACTAATATAATCACTTCCGCTCCTTCTGAAGCATTTAGCCAATCAATATTAACCAACTTATTTTATCAAACAAACACAAACAATGAAACAATGAAATGATAATGTAAAACAATCTGACCCAATAAGTGTGTGTTTTAGTCTTGTCCCCGACCAACACCAAAACAAGTATGTGTGTGTGTGTGTGTGTGTGTAGGTGTGTGTGTGTGTGTGTGTGTGTGTGTGTGTGTGTGTGAGTGTGTGTGTGTATGTGTGTGTGTGTGTGTGTGTGTGTGTGTGTGTGAGTGTGTGTGTATGTGTGTGGGAGGTGACTTTTTCCCCACCACACTGAAAACCAGGGTGTGTGTGCAGCTTTCACAGTAAACTTTACCAAACACTTTCAAATCACAGTGAAACTTAACCAAAACACTTTGAATTGTTTCTTAGTTCAAGGAAAACAACAAATCAATCAAATTGAATATCTAAAAAGCCTGTCCAGCCGGGCCGAGCTTAAACAAACACAGATATCACAACAATAAAACAAACAGACCTTACTTGGAGTTCTGATGGCGGTTTTTGGTACGAAAGAGAAAAACCCTTCTCTTATTTTGAAGCAGATCACGCGGTTGACCGCTTGTTTGGCTATGAGAAAATGGGAGAGGAGAAGAGAGAGGAAAAAAATTAAATAAAAAGTCAAACTCTTGCGTTAGCGAACCAAGACATCCCTTTTGTTCGCGCTGAGCAGATACGATGACGGTGATCTGTGGATCGCTCCCAGTAGGCCTCACGCATAGGCGTCCAGCACGGTCGGAGCAGAATCGGGTGGTCTCTTCAAACCAGTTGACTGGAACAAAAGAGAACTTAAGTTTTGTTTTGTCTCTCTTTTATAGACTCGGCTGTCTGGCGGGCTGGACTCTGTGTGGGTTCCAGCTCATGCACGGAACTTGTGTTCCGGGGTTCGACTCCGCTTTGGTGACGTCATCACGTTGCTTCCGGTAGCAGGGAATCATAGGACATGGAGTCTGCTCACGCTGGAATATATTATCTGCTTTTTCAGAGCGCAGATGACACAGTCTTTTGGAGAAATTACCGCATAGTAATTTTCTCATGAGGGCAGACCCTCAACAAAGCTAAAACCAATACGTTACCCACCAGCATTCAAAAAATCTTTG